CTTGGAAGGACTGACATATTTTATAGAAATAGTTTCCTTTCATTTTGAAGTAATATTAAAGTATTCAGAAGAAATAAGCGACAAATTATAAAATCATGCACCTTCTACTTGCTGCACAATTTTCCCTCTGTTACTTTTCCCTCCGTTACCATGACCTTTCTTAATAAAAAATCTCATTACTCAAAAAGTAAGAGGTTTTTCAACCTAATCTTGTACCATATGGTAGAAAACTATATGAAGCAAATATTCAAACCAGTTTGTTAAGGATATGTAAGTGAGAACCACTAGTTATCACTGTTTGTATTTATTGCCCAAAAAGTGCTGCATATTTCATTCCCTCCATTACCAACATGAGTTTTAAAATTTTTTGTCAACAACTTGAAAAAAAATCGCAGGTTTAACTTTACCCTGTTGGAGTGTTAACTCTTTCCTACATTCTGATACCTTACTTATTTTAATTGTCCCTCTAGTTTCTGAATAAGAGCTATTTGAATGTAAAAAATCTGCCCCTGTTTCCCTCCGTTACCACTTGACCGGACCCTGTTCTATTCTACCATTATCCCAAATGCTAACCACTCTGCCACACTGTAGAGGACGTACTTCTAAACTGTGTACAGCCACATGAATGGTTCTAAAGTGTGTACTGCTACATGAACAGTGTGTTGATACATGGTGTTTAGTAGCGAGTGGTGAGCGAGCTTCTGTGACTGGTCCATTGTACCGCAGGGCTGGATTAGACGACCTCAGATCAATACCATGGTTAATTAATTAGCACTTGATTAGCATTCATTTATTCACTCTCCAGCAGCTGACTGCAGGCTTCTACAGTCACACACAACGGCACACACACACAAATACACACACACACAGGGCAAACTAACTCACTGACAAAGTACTGGGAGGGATTCATGATGTACTGTACTTCTGGTGGACGGTCCGCCACCTGCTGGTCTCTATGGAGTTATGTTACAGCTCATATCTGTGGAGAGACAGGCTCGCTCATAGTAAGAATGCGTATATTTGTAGGTATTTTTGAGCAATTAAAAACATCTGTAATACATGCATCCCGAATTTCCGACTTCCGGTCATCGCGAAATGTATACTGGGAAGGATCCTCCAAAAGTGAGCATCAAATCGCCATCTCTGATTTCCCAGTCAATTGTCAAAGCCGATCTGTTCTGCTCCACATACAAAAATATTTGCTGCAAACTCGGGATGATTTCTTAGGCAGCCAAAGGTTACCGTTTTCGTCTTTCCTGTGTATCAAACCTGCCCATCGCCTTCGCCTTTCACTATTTTTCAATTCCGTTGGGAAGGTAAACAGTTTGAACGGAGGTTTGCAGTCACAGATCTGATTTCCTTTTGCATTTTTGGAGTTCGCCAACTTCCGAAGCCCATTTCTCGAGCCATTTTCCACTGTTAGGATCCAACAACCACACGATTACGATGTCCGAATCCCATAACTAAAATATGACTATATCGGAACCAGAAACAAAAGTGATATGGTTCAAAAGACTTGAAAAGATCGGCTTTGACAACAGACTCATACCACTGGCAAATCAAACATGGCGGTTTGATGCTCACTTTTTCGGAGGATCCTTCCCAGTATGCATTGCACGATGACCGGAAGTCCGAAACTTTGGGATGAAAATGCTGGATTGGATATTGGTTTTCTTGTTTTATTTGATTTCTGTTTTAAGCAAATAAATGCTCTTGAGTCTCTGCACTAAGGTTGTGCAAAAATATCAAAATATCAATATATCGTATCGTTTAATGTGATGACACAGTATCGATATTGGGGACTGCGGTAATCAGTATATTGTCAAGAGTATTTTTTGGTGTATTTTACAAAATTTTTATTAGTCCGCTACAGTGTTTTGTTGCTTGCTAGAGGAAGGAAATTCATTTAAGCAACACATTTGACATTTTCACAGTTTTGATGACTAAAATGTGTTTGTTTCATATTAATTTTGTACAGGAAGTGCTTTAACAAAGACTTTTAGTATCACAGCCATGATTTAGCCTTTATTTTTTCATTGAACCATATCGAATCAATTTGAAATATATCATATCGAATCGAAAGTGCACTGTATCAAGATATGTATCGTATCAGCAACTTCTTAATGATACCCAGCCCTTGATATTAGGTATCGGAATTGGTATCGAAACTGGAAAAGCTACATCTCTAATGCTAATGATCTGATACTGGTATTGGACATCGGTGCCAGTACTGAAAAAAAAAAAATGCTGGATCAGATATCGGCTTCCAAATATTGTTTCATCAGATATCCTGCTTGGACATACATATATTTTTCAAATAAAAAAAAGTCTGTCAATTCTTTATACGGAACATATGAAAAATCAAAATTGTGTTTCTCACTCCCAAGTGTATAAATAAATAATAATAAATGGAAAAGTCCAAGTGTTTCTTTCGGGAGGAGCAGATTCTTAGCTTCCATGCCGCCTGATGGTTAGAGAGGAGACAGTTCAGCATCCTAACAGCCTGATAGATGAAGCTGTTAGTGAGTCTGGTAGTTTCCTTATTTTATTTGTATTTTACGGAAATAAATGCTGTTTTCAGTCTCTGCTCTGTTATTGGCTGATATCTGGCATCGGCAAATACTTAAAGCTATAGTATCGGAATTGGAATTTGTAAGAGAATTTAAGTAATTCATCCTCCACGTACATCTCACAGTTTAACATTGACTCACAAAAGCTATATTTACACCATGATCTTCCCTTGGCGTACCATTGGCATACCATTATCTAAATTGTGGCGTATTGCTGATTAACCAGTGCCTACTGACCTTCATAGTCTCACCACACTTGCTTTATAAACCTCCTCTTCTGGAAGCACAGATAAAGGCGTTGAACACTCAAAGATCACACTATATTCACTTTTGAAATCATATTAGGTTGACTTTTCAAATCCCCTCAGGCCTGTATTATTGATGGTAAATAAACTTCACCTTAAGACATCCAGTTGGTCTCCAGACTTTTACTTCCACCTTTTCTTGGACAAGCCGAAAACTTCTACAACTGTATCTCTATCTGCAACTGAATAACGCATTTGCCTGACAAACCCAGAACAATATCTCGGTCTATTTTTAATGCAAACATGTTTTCAACAATAAAAACACAATGAAAATCTGTTGCTTGTTATGATGAAAAGTCAATATGAAGAGGCATTAACGATTCCGCAGCTTCGAACAGAAAATCTATGGACCTGTTTCTACTATTAAAACGCTTTTGATTAATATTGTGCTTTACAATGAAGAAAACATAATATAATGTTCTGTCTGTTAGAATTTAAAGCAGACCTTTTATGCAGAATCGACTTTTCAGAGCTCTTTGTTGTGATGGTGTAAATGAGAGCACAATGATTCACGGGTGACTAAGGCTACGTTCAGTCTGCAGCTTGAAGTGACTCAAATCCAACTTTTTCGCCCCTTTGTGAACTGTATCTGATCTTTTAATGACAGTCTGAATGACACAATTGCTCAATTTAGATTATTTTGTGAAATCGTCAAGGTTGTTCACCTTTCCAATTCAGTGCAACTTGTTTGTGATCTGCAGTGTGAACTTTAAACGCCCCAAAAGTGTCGCCCATGCGCATTAGAGAACACAACGACGTCACACACAGCGAGCATGCTCAGTGTTTACAGAAGTACGCTGGGCTTGTCTCCCAAAATAAAATTCATAAAATTGACAGGTTACACATTTGTTTGAGACTTTAGCGTCCTTGTATTTAGCTCGCAGGTGCTTTATTTTTTGTTGATATAGGAGCCAGGACCGCCTGTAGCCGTGCTCGGTCATTTCAAAAAATCACCCAGTTTCGATAAGATCCCTCCAATTTGGCCTGAATACAGTGATCCCCACAAATATTAATCAACTCGCTAACCTCACTTTCCCTCCATTGTCTAGACTCTGACCCTGACTTGTAGGTGCTTCGCTGCTTCACTCACACGGAGTTCAGACACATTTTTTGTCTGACGAGAAGAACGTTCGTGTACATTTGTGGCGTGTAGGTGGGATGAATGTGACCTGGCCATTTAGACTGAAGTCGCATGTCAAAAGATCGGATATGTATCGGTTTTAGGAGCACATATCCAATTGGCCTGGGTTGGGAAAAAATTGGATTTGGGTCATTTCAGGCTGCAGTCTGAACTTGGCCTTAGATTATATCTCTATAGCAGACACAAGCAAAATATGTGTTCTTTAGTCATTGTTTTTCCACCCTTTTTTGTTAGCAACAAATTAACATGTTTTATAAGTTTCGCTTTCGGTTTTGACGCTCTAAGTCAAAAGTCACTCTTACAAACGACCAGGGTTTTAAAGCTGTAGTTAAAATAGTAATGTAGGAGCACTGGACAGAATCTTACAGCATAACCATAAGGAGGGTTCCAGTAAGGCCCAGGAGAGATCACCAAATTACTCAAACATGCACAGGTGACATCTAAAACCTCTTCAGGCACGTTTTTGGTGAAGTTATAACATTGACTTTGCATAATCCACTGCAAAAAAGTAAATCTAGTCAAGTTAATATGACTTGAATTAAGAAAGTTGTATCATGATTTGAGTAAATTTCACTTGACAAGTAAAATTATCTGCCTGTGGAACAAGACTTTTTGTACTTAAAATATGAAAACACATCTTGCTGCACTTAAAAAGAGAAAAACAACAACTTTTTGCACATAAAATAAGAAACAAAATTTAATGTTGTCAAGTTGAATCTACTCAAATAAAGTAAAATGTTCTTAATTTGTCATTTTAACTTGCCTAGATATTGTTTTTTCCAGTGTACCTCCACTTTGAACATACACAAACCCACTGAAATACAACTTTGAGCAAGTTAGCGACGAGAGGACACCATTCTAACACAAACGTAGATTTTCCACACCATGTCCTCTTTAATGACCCGTCTCTCCCCTCTCTTTACCCCCCAGAGCCGTGTGGGAGTGCAGGGAGAATGAGGAGTCGGCGGGGCAGGGGGCAGCAGCATGAGTGGCCGGTTCATCTCCGCCTCTAGACCCAGGGCGCTCATGTCTCTATGGGGGTACTGCGTGTGTCTGCTGGGCTGTGCCGTGCTGGTGCTGGTGAGGGGGGCACCGGGAGACCCACCAGGGAGCGCCACTTCCTCCTCCTCCTCCTCCTCTTCCTCCACCGGGACGGGCTTCAGCGGAGCCAACGGGCCCCTGGGCTGGCTCCTGTCCGACAAGGGTCCCTTCCACCATTCGCAGGAGTTTACAGACTTTACGGAGAGGTACCAGCAAGGGTTCACCACCAAGTACAAGATCTACAGGTAAGGAGACGTGTTCGAGCTTGGGGGGTATGAGGATAGAAATTGATCTGACTATAAGCTGTTTCGGTGATATTGTCTTTGTGTTTTTCAACCTCTTTTGAGTTGTGGCCATAGACGGTTTATATAAAGCGATATCACTAAATTGCAAGCCGACACGTTCGAAATAAAAACTGAGAATGGGCGCTCATCACTTCTTCATACAGTCTGTGGTTTCGGCACACTTTTTTGGTTGAAACGATGCCACAGCACACCATCTCCTAAAATCATGGCAAAGGAGAATTTCATTTTGTCAACTGGACAAACATTTATTTAGGTCAAACATTTCGCTGCTCATCCAGGCTGCTTCTTCAGTTCTGGTCGGAATGCTGGTGGACACTTCCGGGATTTTGCACACATCTACAAAAATCTTTACCAAAAAAAAAAAAAAAAAAAGTCTTCTGTCTATTGCTATTCAGTACTTCATCTTTCTGTTTAATTTACATCTATGGTCAACTACAGACTTTTCTTTTTAAATTCTACCTTAGACTGTATAAAGAAATTGACTAAATTGGACTAAAATTTATGGTGCATCTCTGAAATTTTCGAACTACACGTTGAAACAACGCAGACAACAAAGGCTGTGATTGGTCCTCTCTACAGCCGCTCTACATACATTTCCAGTACTCCGCATTTCATGTCATTTTGCATACACGGACGCTATTTTTACATCTTAGCCTATTAGGCAACAACGCAACAGCAGCAGTGTGCGTCGAGTCGACGCAAAACTGTAATTCACCCTTAAGGGAGTGTGATGTCACCTATAGTGTCCAGTCAAGTGAAGCTCATTGAGGTTTGCGGTTACAAGGGCCAAGTTTCAACTCTGTAATTCAGTATCACAGCAACCAAAGAGCCAATCCAGAGCGAGTCTGGTGGAGGTACATGCCCATTCTCGCCCGCACTGCTGGTTTAGCAGGAACAGTGCTCTCAAACGCTGTCAATCAAACCTGCTACTCACAACAGCTGGAGTGACCTTGAGGAAAGAGTCACCCGAGTCACCAGTTATTAATGTTTATATGTTAATTTACAGACAAAATAGTTTAATGAAACAGGGTTCCCACTCCTTCCCACAAAATTTCATAATTTTTCCATGACTCTTTAATAGCCTAAAGTGAATTTTCCATGAGTTTACAGCACCCTACATTGTAAAATTGATCACACTTTTAGGGCTAAATATGAAATGTTAACATTTTCCACTCACCTTACGGTTTGGTATTATAGTTTTTTAACATTCAAAATACTGTCGGTGCAAAAAGGCGCTCGGAAAACGTTCAGAAATAATCATAACAGCCTAATGAGAAGTTAACAGAACGATGTAGTTGCATGAAAGACGTACTAAAATCCCATAACGTTTCCAAAACTTTGATATAATTTACAAAATTCCTTGAATCAGGATTTCCTTGACCATGGGAACCCTGAATTAAAATAAAAAAGCTATATATTTTTTTTGATAGGAAGTGATTTGGAGCCAGAGTCAATGGAGCTGGAAGGGCACCCATGCTCACTTCCTATTTGGAACGTGGCGGCCAGCGGGTCAGCTATGTCCATTTATGTAAACATTTATGTAAACAGTCTCTTGTTCTTGGCACACTGTTGGCAAGTATAAAATGAGTTTGTTGGAAAATACACACTTTCCTCTCTGCACCAAAAGTTTTTCTGACTAGAGCAAATCTTACTTTCTCGATTGTGTGAATTATAAACTTTAACTGTCCATCATCCTGTTGCATAACTCTAAAACAACTATGTCATGTTCACCTCACATTCTCACAGGATGTTTTTGCCTCGGGAATTTCAGTGCATTTTAGATTTGAACATGGAAAGAATTCAGCAACTTTGTTAGAAACTAGGACTCAGCCAGAACTGCAGAAACTAAATAATACGAATCAGGACATAGTGAAAGAGAACTAAACCAGGAACAGTAAGTGTACCTTTTATTAGTGTTTAAATTCTGCTGAAAAGGCTGAGGGTTTATTTTTTATCAAGTTCACAATATGAGCAAACAAAATATAAAACGAAAAAGGATCGATTCAATTTTCTGTTGAACAAAATTCAGCACAAATTTATTAAAATCTGTTCCTTTCAAGCTTTCTTAGAACTCAAAATGTGCACAAAATTCTTACTCACGTTTACTCTTTAAGTACATTTAATACTTTTACATTAGTAGATATTTTTCATGCGATACTTTTACGTTTACTCTTGTATTTGTAGGTTTATTTAGTAACAAAATTGGACTAAAAATGGACGAAAGCAGAACAAATCTCGCAATAATTACAAATGTTGACTGTGATTCTGGTGCGGCACGTCCAATCTGAAAACGCTCACCGCTAATGTGTTATAAATTTAAATGCTAATGCTTTTTACTAATACTGCTTTAAGGTCCATTAACATTAACATCTCCAGGAAATAGTCAGTGCCGCCTGCTATTCGGACCCATTCAAAGTGCTCAAAACCATTACGCGGTTACAGCACATTGACTCAGTTACCAGATGCTTTTGAAAATCACAAATGAGGTACTTATTTTGTTGCTCGGTCACGGCAAAGAAGGATTTTAAATGAGTAAGCACTTTTACTAGTGTATTGAAAAGTCTGAGTGATTAAAACAGGACTAAACTGGGGCTGAACCAGGACTGAGCAGGGACTAAAACAGGGACTAAAGTAGGTCTAAACAAGGGTTGATCCAGGGTTAAACAGGGGCTAAACAAAGACTGAATCAAGACTAAACAAGGACTGAACCAGGAACCAGGACTAAACCAGGATTGAGCCAGGGCTGAACAGGGACTGAACCAGAGCTAAACCACGACTAAACAAGCACTGAACCAGGACTAAATCAGGCCTAAACCAGGATTGATCCAGGGCTAAACGGGGACTAAATTAGGGTTAAACAGGGACTGAACCAGGACTAAACAAGGACTAAACTAGGGCTAATGCAGGACTAAAAAAGGATCGATCCAGGGCTAAACAAGGACTAAACCAGGGCTAAACAGGGACTGAACAAGGACTAAACAAGGACTGAACAAGGACTAAACAAGGACTGAACAAGGACTGAACCAGGACTGAACAAGGACTAAACCAGGACTGAACCAAGGACTAAACAAGGACTAAACAAGGACTGAACAAGGACTGATCAAGGACTAAACCAGGACTGAACCAGGACTAAACAAGGACTGAACCAAGCATAAACAGGGACAAAACCAGGATTGAACCAGGACTGAACAAGAACTGAACAAGGACTGAACCAGGAGTAAACCAGGACTAAACCAGGACTGAACCAGGACCAAACCAGGACTAAACTAGGACCGAACAAGGACTGAACCAGGGCTAAACAAGGACTGAAATCAAGGACTAAATCAGGACTGAACCAGGACTGAACAAGGACTAAACTAGTACTAAACTAGTACTGAACCAGGACTAAACCATACAAGGACTAAACCTGGACTAAACCTTCCACTAAATCAGGACTCACCCAGATTAAACTATGACTAAATCACTAAACCTAGAGACCAACCATTGACTAAATCAGGGCTAAACCAGGACTACACCTGGGCTAAAGCAGGCCTGAACCAGGACTAAAACAGGACTGAACCGCAACTAAACCCCACAACGACTAAGCCATGACTAAGCAAAACAAAATAATTTACAGGACTAAACCAGCCCTAAACCAGGACTAAGCCACAACCCTTGTGTACTTCACTTTCAATTATTTCTTTTAGAGATAACTATACCAGTTGAATGATATTTGCACTTTTTAGCAAATCGGCAATGGGTCTTAAATCTCCAGCACAGGCCGATATTATATTTTGGCCAGTCTGCTGCCTGAAAAGACCTTACTACTCTATTTTTGTCTTAAAAAAGGACTGTGGGTGAGTTTATCGTAAATCAAAATATCATAGTTTGCTGAAAATAGTGAAAATCTGTGTTACATATCAGCCCAAAAATATTGGCGGAGCCCATCGGCCATCGGTTCCTCTGGATTTCAAACTCTTGGTATCAGCATCGGCTATGCATAAAAAAGAAAAACACATCTTATACTTCGCACTGACCCACTTTAAAACAAGAACCATTCCCACACTTAACCAAACTGCGAGCGAATTCCCCATATCCGTCTGAGCATTTACGAGTCCGCACTCAGAACTCCTCTTCCCCGCTCTGCCGCTCAGTGGGAGTGAGCTGTAGGACGCACATTCTAAACTGCTTAGCCCATTTCAAAGCGCCGCGCCTGGTATGGATCTGGGTCTCTTTTGTGGATATGAGAATGATGTGGTTACACGAGAAGACCTCACGCTGGTTGGAAAGTGAAAGTACAGATTTGGCGGAGGGGAGGGGGTTTAAGGAGAGCGGAGAGGATGAAGTCGGAGTGTGTCGACAGAGGAGAAGAAGTAGGGCTGTGGAATTAACCAGATTTTACAGAGGAAGCGTTAAACTTTTACGGGATATTAACGCCTTTAGATCACCATGTTACTTTTTATTGTGACCAGTGGCGGCTGGTCAACTCCCTAACCTGACCTAGATAAAAGAAAAAAAAATTATAAAGTCATTATTTTGTATTAGGCTATATGTTTAATATTTTGTTTAAAATTGAACGTGTATCTGCATAGACATATTTTTATCACATTAAATGTGCTCATAAGTCATGTGTTTGGAATGCGGTGAGTCGGTACCTAATGTAGTTTCTATGGGAGAACCTGAAGTTTTGAGAAAATATGACGTCATGACGTTGCTTCTGCCCATTACTTTACATTAGCCCTAAAATACGTGTTTGGGGCGCAGGGTCAGAGCGCCTTGAAATCAAGTGGTTGGTCTGAATAAACATTAGTACACATCTTGACCTGTTGTGGTTCAGCTGCTCTGTTACTCAGCTCAGCCCCGACTCTGCACTGACGACATGTTAAGGCTGAAGTATAGTTCTGTGTCGACTCAACGCGCACTGCCAAAACGCTAGGGGGCGACGATATCTGTCCATTCAT